AGTCACGTGGAGAATGAACCAGTGGATGGAAGCTCTTCCTCTCTGTCTCTCCTCCTCTCTGTATATCTGACTTTCCAATAAAAACAGATATTTAATCCCCGCCGCCCAGAATGACAATGCAAAAAAAAAAAAAAAAAAAAAGAAAAGAAAAGAAAGGAAAAGAGGAAAGAGAAGCAAGGGGGCAGGGCAGCAAAGTGCTAACGGTCCCTCCCAGTACAGCTCAACCACTCCCAGTGAGTGAGCCAGTCACTGGGTAAGTCAGAGCAGAATGGCAGGAAGTCGAGGGCCAAGGGCAGTGGCCCCACCAGGCCCTCAGCCACAGATCTACAACAGGCCAAACTCCCTTCTCATTAAATCAGCACAATGCACACTTTTACTGACATCATTAAATTAGGTTTAAATATTACAGAGGTTGATACCATGGGACATCGCATTAAGCTACCATTTGTGATACCAGACGGGCACACCAAGTTCAAGTCCAGGCCGTTCCACCGCTGATCTAGCTGCCTGCTCGTGCACCTGGGAAAGACATAAATGATGGCTCAAGTCCATGAGTCCTTGCCGTTCGTGTGGGAGACCAAGTATTCCTGGCTCCTGGCTTCAGCCGCTGCAAGCGTTTGGTAAGAGAGCCAGCAGACAGATACATCAGTCTTTTCCTTTCTTCTTCTCTCTCTCTCTCTTTTGAATAAATATATAATTATTTAAAATAAATACATAACCACATGATCATTTGCTCTCATAAACAGAGGGGAAAATGAAACTTCTAAAAACAGGAACATTCCTGGAATTTTGTACAGAGGTTTCAAAGAGAAAAGTATCTGGTTGTCTGAAGACAGGTAACTTTTTATTAAAAAAAAAAAAAAAGATTTCTTTTCACTAGAAAGGCAGATTTACAGAGAGCAGAGATGGAGAGAAAGGTCTTCCATCTGCTGGTTCACTACTCAAAATGGCCACAAAAGCCGCAATGGCCAGAGCTCAGCTGATTCAAAGACAGGAGCCAGGAGCCTCTTCTGGGTCTCCCATATGGATGCAGGGGTCTACAGACTTGACTCATCCTCATCTGCTTTCCCAGGCCATAAGCAGGACGCTGGATGGGAATGGAGCAGCCAGGACATGAACCGGCACCCATATGAAACGACAGAACTTGGAGGTAGAGACTTAGCCAGTTGGGTCAGCGCACCTCTCCCCATCAGCTTCTATGTACTGGGTAACCCTGCAAACCGCCACAGTAGCCAAGCCCGGCTGCTGCCTCCCAGGCTACACACCAGCAGGACACCGCCGCAGAGAAAAGGACAAGAACTTGAACCTGGGTACCCTGATGCAGGATGCAGTTGCCCTGCGAGGTATCTCAGATGCCAGGCCAAACACTTGGCTCTTCTCAGGCTGATGGTCCTTCCCTGACCACCTCTGGGAACTTCCTAAGAAGTTCAATGTGCACTACAGGCCACTTGGGACATCCCAAGAACTCTGGGAACACGGCACGTGCTGCTGACACCGAATCTGTCACGCTGTGCACTCACTCACTAGCTTGTTGGATGAGCTAACCTCTCAGCGACAGCAAAGCAGCACAGCATGTCTCAGGAGAAGAGACTGCTGGTCAAATCCCGACTTTTCCACTACTGGCCGGCTGGCATTGGACCTGTCAGTAACTGTGGCCCTGCGAGTCTCCTAACCTTTAGAAGTAGGCACTAGCGCCTTTATCTCCAGGGACGGTTTCTGAAAGCTCCCCGGTGCTCTAGAACATTCGCTCCCGTCCTTCCAGCAGCACCTCCTCCCCACAATCCCTCCACTCTTTTCTTTTTTCTTTTTTTATTTTTTTTTTTATTGGAAAGGCGGATATACAGAGAGGAGAGACAGAGAGGAAGATCTTCCGTCCGATGATTCACTCCCCAAGTGAGCGCAACGGCCAATACTATGCCGATCCGAAGCCAGGAGCCTCCTCCGGGTCTCCCACGCGGGTGCAGGGTCCCAAAGCTTTGGCCTGTCCTCGACTGCTTTCCCGGGCCACAAGCAGGGAGCTAGAGGGGAAGCAGGGCAGCCAGGGTACGAACCGGCGCCCACATGGGATCCCGGGCGTGCAAGGTGAGGACCTTAACCACTTGCGCCACCGCGCTGGGCCGGCCCCCCTCCACTCTTTTAAAGAGGCTTGTCCCTCCACAGTGCTCCACACTTCGGAAAAATGCCTAAACCCTGCCAGCTCATGGATGTGTCCTCACCCTATCTATTTTTCTTTTACTAAATATATATTATATTACTATATTATATCTATACTAATATTAATATATTGCATATGTTAATATATTAAATGCATATTTTATTGAATATATGTAAATATTCCTCATGGACAGGTAAATTTACAAAGAGAAGGAAAGTCAGAGAGAAAGAGCTTCCATTTACTGGTTTACTCTCCAATTAGCCGCAATGGCCAGAGCTGAGCTGCTCTGATGCCAGGAGCCAGGAGCCTCTCCCAGGTCTCCTACATATGTGCAGGGTTCCAAGGCTTTGGGCTGTCCTCTACTGCTTTCCCAGGCCACAAGCAGGGAGCTAGAGGGGAAGTAGGGCAGCCAGGGTACGAACCGGTGCCCACATGGGATCCCAGTGCATGCAAGGCGAGGATTTAGCTGCTGAGCCATTGTGCCGAACCCGCCCCTCTCTACACACACACCTATTTTTCACATCAAGCCTATCTCTAGTTCATGATTCTCCCAGCGTTCACACTCACTTGGCAGGTGAATCTGCACATAAGGGCTGCACTGGGAGCCACAGTGCTGGGGGCCAGATGCTCCTTCCTGGAGCACTGGTACACCCTGTTAATGACCCTGAGCAAAGGTGACCAGAGCCCGACTGTCTGTAGGAAACAGGGCCGCCAGCTCATTAGCTCACCCTCCATTCAAGGCACGGGCACCCTGACCAATGATTTACAAGTCAAAAGAGATCTCACCCCTGATTAATCTAGGTAATGACAAAAGTCAGTAATTAACTTACAGGAACTTCCACTTGGGAAAGCCGAAGCTAATTTTTAGGTGGTAAATGATGAAAAACAACAGTGACCAAAAAAAAATCACTTCTCCCTTCATTCACAACTATTCAACTAGAAAAAATTAGAGAGGGAGAGGGGCAAAACAGAGGTACTTAATGTATAACTTGTGTTTGTGTCCTATTTTTTAAAGGGCCATACGTGTTAAGTCTCAATACCGCAGTGAAACACATCTGGCTGCCACAACATAACAACATGCTCCAGCTCTGCCCTGCTGAGGTCTCAGAAAGCCTCCTGGAACTCAGTGGAAATTTCCCAATCCAAGGTCACCACAGAACAGACTGGAAGTTACTCAGCCAGAGAAATCTTGCAAAAGTGTTCCAGCTACATCTTGATGGGAGAAAAGCAATCAATTACCCAATAATCACTTAAGAATAAACCCACTGCAAGGATTCCACTGGCTAATTGTCCACCCGCAGTGCCAATATCCGTTATGGGCACTGATTCGTGTGCTGGATGCTCCACTGCCCATCAGCTCCCTGCTTAGAGCCTGAGAACACAGCGGAGGACAGCCCAAATCCTCGGGACCCTGCACTTGCATGGGAGACCTAGAAGAAGTCCCTGGCTCCTGGCTTCAGATCGGCTCAGCTCCAGCTGCTGCGGCCAGTTGGGGAGTAAACCAGCAGATGGAAGACCTTCCTTTCTGTCTCTCCCCTGTAAATCTGCCTTTCCAATAAAATAAATAACTAAATAAAATAAACCTTTTTTAAAACCGACGAATCCCCAATACAGTGCTGTTGTGGGTTAAGGAGTTAATTAGCACTCCTTAAGCTGAGCAGTAACAGGAAATGCGCTTGAGGCTAAAAACACCTAGACTAATGGGACTCAGCGGTATTAATTGTTTGGCTAAAGGACTTGGGGGGGAAGAAAGGCTTCAAAGAGACTTCCACCATCACTGGTCTGCTGTAGGTGCTTCATCCCAGACCCTCTCCCTGTCCACGTTAGAGACTCCACTGGCCGGAGCAAAGTGTGGCATGTGGAATCAGGGCTAGAACTCCCAATGTCTGATGCTAAGAAGCATTGGGAACAGACTCAGACCACCCAAGAGCCTAATGACAAGCTGGATCAGCAAAGCAGAAAAAACTGCCCGGTGGAGTGCCAGTGATGGAGTACTCAGACGACAAGCATGATTGCTGGCTGCTGGAACTTCTGGGGAAGACTCCAAGAGGATGCTGGAGTCCACAGGTACAACAGGATCTGGTGCCCACCCCACGCACTTGCCACCACCCTCACTCTGCCCTGCCTTTCTCGGCAGTTAGTCCAACACAGCGACAATGAAGTGATTCCAAAAAAAAAAACCCAGGTTCTCTCCGCTCGGCCATCTGCTCCAGGGAAACGACCTCACCAGCTGTGGGGATGATTCCTTGTGCTGGAGGAAGGGAAGCAGACATTACGGATCTACATTCTGGGTGCATCTTCCAATCCTTTCCGAGTTCTCAACGCTTCAGGACTCTCCGTAGCTGAGTCTCTTCAGTTTTGCTCCCATAACCTGAACCTTGGGTGGGCCCCTCCATCTCCAAGCAATAGAAACATCTGACCGGCAGGGAGAAGCGTGGTAAAAGGGAAGGGGATGGAGGGAGCCAAAGATAGCTTTCCACCTCCCCAGGGTTATCCAGTGGTGCCTCTCCATATTCTATCACTGAAAAGCAAGCAAAATATGTTTGCGGGAAAACAAACTGGGTGGTCAAGCTTGGTCCGAGACCCCAAGGAATTCGAGCACAGTTCTGCGCTGGTTAAACATCAGGCACCTCAGCCACTAAGCCAGAACGGCCCTGTAGAAACTGCCCTGATGCGCCTTGAGAGGCCCAGAAAAGCGCCATTGGTTTTGATTTTGGCGACACAGCCCAGCTCTGCCCTGAGCCAATCCCCAGGGGAACCATCACCTCAGCCGACAAAGGGAATTGCTAAAGTCTTCATTCCTCCTCCCCACTCCCGCCGGCAGGGCCCCTGTGTCGCCCGTTACCTGTAGAGGTGACGGTTGTCTTCAAAGTCTTCCTGACCCCACTTTCCCTTGATGTCTTCAATGACATGGTTCTTTAGGAATTTTTTCAGCAGCTGGACCGTTTGTTTCCGAGTCACCTCGGGCCCGAAGTTCTGACTGTGCGTCAGCAGCTCGTGCAGCCAGTCCACAGCCTCGGTTGCCGTGAAGCAGTGCTCATAGCTCTTGAAACGGCAGCGATGCTTCCGTAACGGCATCCTGGCCCGGAAGAGCTCCACGGTGTCGTTCCACTGGCAAGGAAAAGGCACTGAGGTCAGCCGACGGGTATGTTCAGTGGCAATGCATCCCAAATCCTGAACTCAGGGAGGACCGTTATTCCCATGAGAAAAAAATGCTTCAAGTCCCAGTTCCACGCCCATCTGCAGCTTCCTGCCGAGGTGCACTGTGGGAGGAGCAATTGCAGTTCTAGGTGGGTCTCGGACACTTACACAGGAGGCCAGGACTAAGTCTCTGCCTTACAACAGTCCCAGACACTAAAGGCACTGAGAAGAAGGGGAGAAAAAAATAAGAGAGTCATGGCTTTTTTTTTTCTTTTTAATTTGAAAAATAGAATTACAGAGAAAGAGGGAAAGACAGAGAAAGAGAGAGAGCAAGGTTTTGCATTCATTTGCTCACTCCCCACAATGGCTGCAATAGCCTGGGCTAGGTCAGGCTGAAGCCGGGATCTGGAGCTTCTTCCCAGTCTCCCACTGGGGAGCAGAGACCCAAGCAAGCGGGCCATCCTCTGCTTCCTTCCCCGGCTCATTGACAGGGAGCTGGATGAGAAGTAGAGCTCGATGAGAGTAGGGGATGCTGGCATTGTGGCAGTGGCATTTAACTTGCTACACCACAACACTGGCCTGAAAAGTTTTTATTTATAATCTTAAAACTCTAAAGCTTCTGGGAAAAAGAGAGTGATGGTTGCATCACAATGTGAAGATCCTAAATGTCATTGCATTACACAAGCAAAATATGTGAAAATAATTTTATGTGACATACATGTGTGTATACATGCATATATATTGCCATAATCAAAACAAAAAGATCCCATTAAAAGAAAAAGAAAACTAAAGAACACAAACTTTTGAAGGGAAAGTCACCTTTTACTCAAGAAATACTTACTTAGGGTATTACCATCAAGTTGTCATCTTAAAGGATTTTTACATAAATAAAAAAGCATATAATAAGTTATGATTAAACTAAGCCTGTTATTAATAATTCACTTCTTAGAGCCCCAGGACTTATATACTTCTGCATATACTTGTAGACTGCATGTTGCTCAAAAATATTGTGCGTGGAGAGAAGAAAAATGCATTAAATGGGAATTTGGTTAAAAAGAATTTTGAGGGTCCAGCACGATAGTGTAGTGGTTAAACTTCTCGCTTTGCAAGCGCTGGGATCCCATATGGGCGCAGGTTCTAATCGCGGCAGCCCCACTTCCCATCCAGCTCCCTGCTTGTAGCCTGGGAAAGCAGTCGAGGACGGCCCTGCACCCACGTGGGAGACCAGGAAGAGCTCCTGGCTCCTGCTCCAGGTTTACTGAATCTTGAGTGCCACCTGTGGTTGCCTTGGCAGGGCCACACCAAACGACTACACAGGCCTTGTGCAGTCTTCAGGCTAGAGGATGCCTACCCATTTTCAATGGATGAATCCTACTGAGCATCTGTTTTGGCAGTGGACTGTAAAAACAGATACAATAATTTCTCCCATTCTATTCATATGCACCCATGTAGCGTGGCTTTGCCATCCCACCATGAAAAAGTAGAGCTGAATTACTAAAGTCTATTACACTTAGCTGCTTACTTGGACCAATGGGATGTGAATATGCAAGAGGAAAGAAGCTTTGCTTTAGCTACCCCAGATCTATGTAAAGACAGCTAGGCTAACCTATTGGAAACACCTGGCCCAGCTAACGGTAAGCACATCAAGCAGCCCACTGACATCACCTAGTTCTGGTCAAGTCAGAAGTCAATAGTGGCACATGAGCCACGTCAACAGAAGAACCGCTTAACCTAAGCCCAGCCCAGACCTCTTATCCACAGAATGACCCGCATATGAAAGGGCTGTTTGAACACTAACAAAATCATATCACCGACCCCTCCCCCAGGTCCCTTGAAACCATATTTAAAATTTCCTAAGTGGCATATGTAGTTTCCTGCAGCCAGGATCTGTAGTCCTTATCAGATGCCAGCCCATTTCCTCTGCCAGATGCTTGCCGCGGTGACTTGCACCTGACCTCCAACAATCACTGCATGGTGCACTCTAGAAAGACAAGTATATCTCATGCATAGTACTCACTTCCCAGGGGCCTCACCTCGTCCACACTGAGTGCAGTGAGGATTTGGATCCCAAATTTCCTTCCCACCTTTCATGTGTATTCAACAGCGCGCAGAGAGCAGTAAGATTCATTCCCGAGCCAGAGGCAGCCTAAAGTGCCAGACACACCAAGGCGTGAATTGCTTTCCCCCTGAAATTATCATTAAGATTGCATACAGAGCCCTCTTAAACACTTCCAAGGGCATTACCAGGCTGTCACCTGTTATTCCATTGTGGTCATGTCTGGGGTGGCAGAAATCACTAAAAATCATTTGCTCCAAGGTCAATCATGAAACAACTTCCTGCACCTTTCTCTGCGGCAGGTCAGAGGAAGCAGCTGCAAAGACTCCTTGGGACCATCCCTAGCGGGCCGAGCCCTCCCTCAGGCAGGTGCTGACACAAACAGAAACTCCAGGACCGGGAACCCAGCCCAGGGTGTCCCACCCCCGCCCTGGCACCGTTAGAAAACAGGGTTGTTCAGGTGTCACCCAGGAAGGGGACACGCCCTGCCTCGGACAGCCGCAAACCAGGACAGGACCGCGGGAGGGCGGGGGAGCCCTCGGGTCCGGGGATCCGAGGTCCGGGGCAAGGGTGGTCCACCCTCCAGAGGAGCGCGTTTCAACATCCCGGAGGACAAAGGCCGAGGGCGCTGGACCTGGTCTCCCAGAACTTTTAAATCAGAAAGCCCAGTGAATGGCCCAGATCCTGCAATCTTCTCCGGGAAGCTGCGTCCACCCCCGCTGGCCCGACCGCAGGCCAGGGCAGCCCTTCCAGCACACCCATCCACTACATCGTCCACTACACCGCGGTCCAGGTGTCCAGCACCGTCCACTACACCGCGGTCCAGCGGTCCAGCACCGTCCACTACACCGCGGTCCAGCGGTCCAGCACCGTCCACTACACCGCGGTCCCAGCCCTGCGCGCCCGCAGCCCGGGACCGCCCGGCCAGGGGGCCCAAGCCCCCGCACACCCACTCACGCACTCACCAGCTTGGTGGCCCGGTACGGCCCCGGCCCCACGATGCGGTGCTCCATGGCCCCGCACGCAGAAGCGGCCTCGGCCGCGCCAGCCAGCGGACCCGCAGTTTGAATCGCGAGCGTGCCAGCTCCGGGCGCCGATTGGGCGGTGCGGGAGCCACGTGACCGGAACTGCATGGAGTGGGTGGGGCCCGATTGCCGTCTCCATGGAGACGGGCCTCCGGCTACAGCAAGTGCCGAGGCTCCGACCGGACACTGTGCTCGGGTCCTCGCTGGAGCCGAGGGCTCTTGAAGTCTGCTGGAAGATCAAGGAAAAGTGGGGTGGGCTCAGCTTCCAGCTGCGGGGAGAAATTTGCATCCTCCCCTGCCCAGTGCGCCCCGGGGCTCGGAACCGGTGGTGAAATGTAGCGACTTTAGAGTGTGCATAGGAAAGGGAAGAAATTAAAAAACTCGCTGAAGAGTGCGTAGCCACAAGTTGGGGTGCCTGAGCAATAGGGACCTGGAAAGGAGCCCGACTCTGCTTCCTTTTATTCTCATTAAACCCACAGGCCTCGAATCTGAATCCTACGCCTGGCAGCGTGTCAGTTTCCAGCCTTTGGCTGGGGGAGGTGAAGGGAGCTGTGAGTCCTTTTGTGCTGCCTAGAACATGCTCTTCTCCACACGCCTGCCTCCCTCCAGGAATTCCAAATCCAGTGTGTTCAAAGGGACAAAGGCGGTCACCCCATTAGACCCTTGCAACCAGAATTCAAACTTCAACTCTACTCATCTCAGTGTGTGCCCAGCATAGGACCTCCTACAATGGTAGCCCAGTAACAGTTAGGACCTTAACCCACTTGTTGCCCCCATTTATTGTGCTGCATTTAGGACCCTCAAAAATGTGCTACTATTGTACTACCCCAAGCCCTGGGTGCAAGCCACTCCCATTCCCAGATTCCACAGGATTCAGAGTTGGATTCTTCAAGTTGGAGGTGAGCATGGAGTGATGAGTCTGTGTTTAGGTAGGTAGTTGGTCAGCACTGTGCAGGACCTGCCCCCAACTGGTTAGCTCTAAGAGGTTGGCAGGTTCTGAAGATGCCACCGTGCTAAAGTAGACTCCAGTTGGCCTGGCACCTACAGGTGAATGGTTATTATTCACCGGAATGGGTCCCGGTGAAGCATCTCGAAATGGGGTCTAGTATTAGGATATTAACCAAGCAGGTGTTAGTTCAATGGTGACTCTTGCACTCAGATGTCTCCCTTACTTTAGAAAATCCTTCTTTAGTAAGGAGCAAAGCATGGACAGGAAGTGCAAATTCAGGGAGGACTAAGATCTGATCAAATTACAGAGCTTACCCTTGTGTCACAGCAGGTAAAGCTGCCATATGCAAGGCCAGGATACCCTATCGACAATGTTTTTTTGGTTCCCACTTCTCCACTTCCAATCCAGCTCGCTGCTAATAGCCTGAGAAAAGCAAGAAAAGATAGCCCAAGTGCTTGGACCCCTTGTTGCCCATCTGGGAAACCTAGATGAGGCCTCTGAGCCAGCCCAGGCCATTGTGGCCAGGGGACCCATCGGTTTGAAGATCTCTCTCTCTCTCTTTCTCTCTCTCTCTTCCTTCCTCCCTCCTTCCCTCCATCCCTCCCCCTGCTCTGCCTCTCTCCCTGTAATTCTTTCAGATAAGCTTTAGAAAGAACCAAAAGACCTGATATAGTCTACATTCAAAAGCATTAATGGGAAAGCAAGTGTTTGAAACAACAGGTAAAATCCCAACATCCCATTTTAGGGTCCTGGGTTCAATTCTCATTCCCGCTGCCAGTTCCAGCTCCTGCGTCCTGATGATACATGCTCTAGGAGGCATGCTGGTCATGGCTCAAGTGGTTCTGACTGAATTTCGGCCTCTGCTTCGGTGTGGCCCAGCCCCAGTGGATATGCACTAGTGGGTATAGGGTCTTTCTGCCACTCTGCCTGTCTGCCTTTGAAATCAAATACTTTTCAAGCCATTAAAAAAAAAGAAAGAAAAATAACACTAGGAGTAAGGCATTTGTTTTCTATGGAATGATACGTATGTGTTATTTTTGTAATCAGAAAAAATCTGTAAAGGTAGTTTTTTTTTAACTTCTAATGAGTGAATATTAAGGGTTTTTTTTGTTTGTTTTTTTATTCTCCACAGAGAGATCTGCTTGTTGTTTGCAAGGATAACCAAAGGGAACTGTGACATTGGCACAAAGAAATTAAAAAAAAATTGTAGGGGCTTGTCCATCTGAGCCCAGCCACAACCTGTTATGGTGGTGGACTTAGGATCTGATAACAAAATAACGTGCACCCTTAAACTACCTTGCTTCCTCTTGTATAGCATCACAATGTTTGGGGAGTCTCAATTTCAGTGAAACTAGAAATACAAGCTGAGGGACAGGAGTGCAAGCTAACAGTTTAACAGCCGTTTACTCGTTAGTAAGACAGAAATATTGATGACTGTCTCATGGAGTCGTAGGGGTTGAGGATGCATACAGCAGTGATTGAAACAAACTCTTCTAAAAAAAACCCTGCCACCTCCTCGAACGATTGTTCAACCACCCACTAAGAGCCGTGCCTGTCTTCCAAGGATCCACACATCAGAGGCCACAGAAGCAGCCTTTGTGGATTTAGTTTACAAGGGGCTGTGATCATCTGTCAGGCTTTCGACATCACATAAAGACCACTGAGAGAGTGCTCCGCCTCGTTATGAAAGACCTCAGGTTTCCGGATATTTTTCTTTGTTTAAAAATATTTACTTTAGCTTTTTGAAAGTCAGAGCTACAGAGTGAATGAGAGACAGAAAGGGGAGGTCTTCCATCCAGTGCTTTACTCCCCAAACGGCCGCAACAGACGGGGCTAGACATGGTCAAAGCCAGCAACTGACAACTCCATCTGGGTGCCCCAGTTGGGTTACAGAGGCCCAAGGACCTGGGCCATCTTCTACTGCCTTCCCAAGTGTATTGGGAGGGAACTGAGGCAGAAGCAGAGCAGCCAGAACCAATGCTCCGTGAAGGAATGCTCATTGTTTTGTTTGTTTTGCAGGTAGTGGCTTAACTGGCTATGCCACAACATGGTCCTTTCTTGACCTCTGTTCTGGCTCAGGTGATCTTCCTTCTGTTGGTTCAGCATGCCGCGTTGCCACCTCACAGCCTTTGCCCTGTCAGCATGGGTGTGCCTCTGCTCTTCCACAAGCACCCTCAGCTCACCAGCAAGGCTCCATTCTAGCCTCCCACCCAGACGGGAGTCCTCCGTTAGGCACCCCATCTTGAATGGCACTTACATGGACCTAGAATTTGTATTCTTATCATCTGATTAGTGGCTATCCAATACATAGGTTTCATCTTCTGAGAGCATTTTGGACATTTGGGGACTTGCTTTCTGATTTCTAAAACTGCGAGAGAGACCTGCTGGCAGTTTCTGTCCAGAAGTCAGGGGAGCTAAACGGCCTTTGATGCCTTATATCAGGCAACACAACCAGCAGTTGTCCCTACTTCCTGGTGGCCTTTTAGTGTCCCCCTGGGCTTCCGGGTAAATAAAAACTCTGTTTACAGGTAGCTGTGCCTAGAGCCTACTCTGTTTTGCATACGATTTGAATATGTGTTAGACTGTTTAGCACACACTCAAGTACCCTCTCAAGACTATAGCACAGCTACCACTCCACAACATGTCAGTAAAGGCAGCATGAGAAAAGGACGACAACATTCAGTTTCTGTTTATACTCAGATGCAAATATTTGCCTGTTTTAACGATAGCTTTCTGGCATAGTTGTACTTAAGCATTTATTTACATTTTTTTAAATGCAGATGAATTTATTACCAGTGGTTTCCCTGTTATTTATCCTTATGAAAGGATAGTTTGCTAAGTTCTAATTCTGTGTAGGAAGACTCTGGAAATTTCATCTTGACATCATTGCTGTAACCTGGAATATAAACTCCCAAAGGTTAAGGACCTCTCATTTCCCACCCTACTCCAGCCCTGGAAGAGCTATAGAAGATCCTCATGACATTTTTCTAAAATAAATGACATGTCTTTGCTTCAATGTTTTAACTGTTCTAACTTTCTGTTGAGTAAAGATCAAACAGGGAAATTTCCAGAGTTTACCATGCGGCTTTCAACTTAAACATCTCTCTCTCTCTCACTCTCTCTCTCTGTCTTTTCTCTGCCTCCCCAACCTGTTAATTAAACACTAATAGAAGCAAACTTGGCTTTTATCTGATAAACTCATGTATGTTTTAATCAAATATCTGTATCTATGACTTATCTATTAAGGATTAATAGTCAAATTATGGCTAATTCCTACCAACTATATTAAAAAGATATAATGATGATGCTACAGTGGGTCAAGCCACTGCCTGAACTGCTGGCATCCCATATCAGAACAAAGCACACGTTCAAGTTTCAGCTGCTCCACTTCCCATTCAGCTCCCTATTAATGCATGGAGAGATGGAGCAGAAGGCCCAAGTACCTGGGCACCTGCAGCCACATGGGAGACCTGGATGGAGTGCCAAGCTTGTGGCCATTTGGGGAATGAAGCAGCATAGAAAAATCAATCACTCTTTCTCTCTCTTTCAATAAATAAATAAACCAGGTAAGTTCTGTGACTTCTTTCAGTTAATTAGCAAAACGTGGACCCGCTCCTGACCTTCTACCACCAAAGCCTATGTTTGAAATTTGGCTTCATTAGGTGGCTCGTTGACTTGGTGTTTGATAACCTTCTGGAAATGAAAAGAGGAATTTTTCCAGTATAAAGTAGAATCTCACACATATTTATGTCAAGGCTTGTTTTAGGAGACAGGGAAGGAGATAGAAACCTTACACAAATTTATTCCAATAACCAGGAATGAGATTGATAAAGTTGTGCATTTGGCTTCTTTTTCAATGTTCTGATTGTGGTTGGTTTCTTCTTATGTTTGGTTTTGTGCTGACACATATATTGAATTAGATTACTACCCCTCCAAGAAAGTTTGACTCTCAGCCTTAGCTTAGTCCACAAAAATGTATTAAAATGAATTTTCAAGAGAAAAATTGTTAAGATGAATTTAACTCATTTTCACCCTCTGAGGAGAGGACTAACTACGACGTGAACTCTTCTGGCGTATTTAGGTTTGAGGCCACGAAGATCCTGTAGGAACACTGACTGGGCTCCCAAGCAACTTCACAAGGCGTTAGCACATTGCAAAGCGGGTGTTTCACCATCACTCACTCATTTGTCACAAACATCAGGAGATTTCAAACTACAGAGCAGCAAGCACTTGGCGTAAGTACACTATTGTGTTGGAAGGTGCATTTCCCAATCACATCC